GTTATAGAGTTAACGGTTTATATTTATTACAAATATGGTGCTCTTCTTAATATTCATTACACTTAGTTTTGGTGACTCACATAAGTGATAAATCAAAAAAAAATCTTTATTGAACTTTATAAAGGTGAGAAAATGCCATTTCATATTTAAAATGGAATGTAAATGGTATTTATGTTCATTCACCTTCCACTACAGCACTGACTGCAGGGAAATATGACTGTGGTGATTTCTTGTGAGAAATTTGATGGTGTTGTTGATTATTGGCAGCCTAATATAGCGGTTCTGCACTTTGATTTTTGTCTATAATTTAATCAGTATCTTTTTATTTGTTTTTTAACTTTTTGGATGACTAGGATTTGTTTAATCTCTAATGTTGGACAACATGTTTAATCCTGATGAGTGGAAACCAATGATTTGCAAATATCTGAATTGTACCTCCCATCTGTATTCACAGTTATCTGAGGAAGCGTCTTCTAATGCCCACATTAAACTCTCTGTTATGTGTCTCTATATTACAGTTCCAGAGTGGAACCTCCAGAAACCAACTATGTGTATATGAGGGGCAACAACTTAATGTATCAGCCTCTTTATTTCAATAATGAAAGAACCAGTACTGACCTGAGGTGAGACACAGACACAGGATGTTAGAGAGTTTTAGCAGGATGTTTGCTAGAACCCAGCTATTGTTTTTCTTGCACGTGGACCACATCTCCACTTCTTACTCCCAGTGATTATGCTATTGTTCACTTGTATGATCACCTTACATGATCACCTGGTGTGTCTGGCTCTACTGTGGCCATGATGTAGCTGAGGAGATTTAAACCCTTATAAAGGGTAATTTGAGGCTCTGGCTAATATGATGAATGAGTTAGTAATGAACTAATGAATAATCAAAAAGAGGATGGAGAGTGTAGTACAGCAGTTCCCAGCAACCTGAAAGCTTATTTGATTAACATACAGGGGCCTTTTTTTAAACCAAAAAGGAAAGAAAGGCAGAATCGTTAAGTGTGCAAAGGGAAATTAAGAAGATGGTGGAGAGCAGTGAGTCGAAGGAAGGTGCAGATGAATATCATGAGGGATGTGTGGAATGGTTCTGTATAACTGCAATAGAATTGTGCTTTAACAGCACAAGTAGGCATTTTGACCGACTCACAGTAAAGATGTGTGCGAATGTGGAGGTATAGCATCATTAGAAGCAAGTTCTAGAATAAAACAGTTCAATGTCAGTAAAACTGTCTCATAAAATGTATTTTTTTCTGATTCTTCAGTTAGTGAGGTGGGCAATTAATCAGGACTATTTGAAAAACTCCCCATTAACCTTAAATAAGTGTGCACACTATCTTCTGTTATTTCCTTGATAACACCTTTAATTAAATGTACTTTGAAACCAGTGATCTCCAAATATCTGCATTGTTATTCCCAAATATCTAATCAGCTTTGTGATGTTGTTGTTGTTGTTGTTGTTGTGTTCATATTGATATCTAAATTGAGCTCTTTTTGCTTGTCTCCATATCACATCTCCAGACTGCAGACATACAGAGCAGAACCTCCAGAGCTGAGCTATGTCTCTATGAAGAGCCACAACTCTGTGTAATTTAAGTTTTATTTAAATACGTGTGTAAAATATATGTAATTTATTTTTACTTCTGTTGACAAGATTTATTTCAAGACAGTAGTTTTAATCTTAACTGAGTGGTAATCAGTAATCTCTAAATATCTAAATTTAATCAGTCATCTGCTGTCACTGTCTTATCCATATTTATATTGATATTCTTTTTCTTGTGTGTCCCCATCACATTTCTAGACTGCATACATTCAGAGACCCTCCAGAACCCAGCTGTGTGTCTATAAAGAGCACCAACTCGATGTATCTGCCTCCTCGTTTCAGTGATGAAAGACCCAGTACTGACCTGAGGTGAGACACAAAACTAACATGGTCATGATTTTGCAGGACGTTCCACAGGAAGCATCTTTTTATTTTTTCTTGTACTCGGACCACATCTCCATTTCTTACTACCATTGGTAATGGCATTGTTTACATGCCTGATCATGTGATGTACCTAGTGTGTCTGGCACTGCTGAGGCAATTATGACCGTAAAGGCCACTGAACACCGGACACGCCACACTGGACACTCCCCTAATACTCCTGTATCCAGTCACAGCTGCTACACAGAGGAGGCAGATTCACATTGTGTGGTTTTCTACTCTGTTTTTTTGTCCCATTGTAAATCTTTTTTCTGTGCCAAACAAACAGAGTCAGAAGAATCTGAGAGTGAGTTAATGTGGTGCTCTAGTTAAGAGGAGTTTCTGGAAACTCTCACTAATTAACAAACATTCTTTAGAACAAGTGAACAAAGTAACCTAGAATTTCTGACAAGACCTTTAATCATAAATGAATGTAAACCATTTACCTCCAAATATCTCTGTCTGAATTACTATAATCGAATGTCTGTTTTAGCTGTCTTAACAATATTTATATTAATATTTAACTTTTTTTCTTGTTTCTCCACATCACATTTCCAGACTGCAGACATTCAGAGACCCTCCAGAGCCCAGCTGTGTGTCTATGAAGAGCAACAACTCAATGTATCTGCCTCCTCGTTTCAGTGATGAAAGACCCAGTACTGACCAGAGGTGAGACACTAACCAACATGGTAGTGCATTCCAGCAGGACGTCTCCCAGGAAGCTTCCTTTTGCTTTTTCTTGGACTTTATCTCCACTTTTAATTGCCACTTACAGAAAGCGTTGTTTACTTGCATGATCAGCTGACGTTCCTGGTGTACAGTGTGTTGTCAGCAGAACATTTTGAGTGAAAAGTAGATTCATTGACACTTCAACATGAATTTCAAAATTTCTTACTGTTCTGAATGTCCTTCTTCTACTTTAATGACAGCGTGAACTTTAGCTGCACAGGTTTGTGCCAAAGCCTCTTCTGAGTAGATCAGACCCACTGAGATCCATCTGAACATGAGCTTCAGTGAAAGGAATGAGACTAAAAATGATTTGACCTTTTTGAACAAAGGCTTGTGGTGCCCAACAAGCAGTGAAGGATCTAGACTGTCTTCATTTACATATAACTTTTCTTTGTTCTTCAAAGTTTGAGCACTTTCTGCTGTTTATTTATAAGACTTTCAGTGTCCTGTCAGACTCTTGAACCCCCCTGTATCTTTAATTTATTTTACCTTTGTTCCCAAGATTTATCAGCAGCATTTTACAATACAGCTCCTTAGTAAGCTAAGAACTGTGCACAAACAGATCATGAGCTAATCTAGTAATTACCTGTAATGAATGATGCGTTACGCTTCATTATTTATGAATGAAAATGAGAAGGACTCGGTTGTTCCTGCAGTAGTTAACATCCGTTAAAGTACATTTACAGAATGAACAGATAAATTAACTCATACAGTAACTAGGATAAACTAATATAGTAACTGAGATAGAGCTGGGTGATATGGCCAAAAACGTTATCACGATAAACAAAATTCACATCGTTCGATATCGATACATATCGAGATAAATGTCATCATGATTTCTTTCACATTTGAAGGCTAATTTTGCTCCTGGGTGGTTAACTGTGGTTTTAAACTATCAATTATGGTCTGATCATGACAAACACTCACCAAGCAGTGGAACATTTCACTAATCTGTCATGGGACAGTGGGAGAAAGTTTCTGAGTTGTTTTTATCAGCTGGAAAAGCACAGCTGCAATTTTTGTAATAGTCATGATTTAAGAAAGAAAACAGATTATTTTATCAGTCTGGTGACGAGCGCTCGGCTATCCCGTTACAAATACTGAACTAGTGGCCAACAACAGTGCTAAACTCTTTAGTTTCTCAACAACGTCAACTCGGTTTGGTAGGTCACTGCTGTCACTCCTACCACATCCATGTCAGAACAGATCACAGTATTCAGACACCAGCTAGACGACTGGGTTTCTCTGTTTAAGGGGTGAACCACAAAATATCTGACGCTCGCTGTGTAAAAGCATCATCTGCAGTGTGAATCTCTCACACCAGTCACAGAGTCCTCCTTTTAGGTATGTTTAAACTGAAAGCGGTGATTTTGTGTCTTGTTTGATCTACAGTATCATCAATTCACCGTGTTGTGCCGGAGCGCTGCTTCAAGTTAGCCAGCAGCTAAAAACAGCTAGCCTGGAGAGATAGCGCTCTCCCGCTCTCCAATGCCTCACAGCTTCCTCAGTTTACTGTCGAACATGAATCCACTTCTTTCTTTCACTTTCGTTGCTCGAGAATGCACTAATACTAAAATATGGCGGTTTGGCGCTGTAGACGTGATTTAACACCGCGAAAGTTGTTAGTATGTAAGGAAAGAGGTGAGTTCACCGTAGGACAGTACAGTTACACCACTGACCTCGTCACTCGGTCACAGGAGAACCAACCGCCAGTCGCTCCACTCAAACAGGGAATGTATAACTCCGCGTTTCAGATGTTGCTAAAGTATATTTGGCGACCCTTTTTTACTCGTGGCCTCCTCCCTCTCTAATCAAGTCGAAAAACTGGGAAGTGCGCCCTCTCCTGGTGACAGCAGAGTAGTGTCGCTTTCCTTGCAGTAGAAAACACCACCAGGGCTTTCGCTAAAACATGGAAGTGTGAGAATGGTGTATTATATCAAACATTTATCGGACATGCCTTATCGCTCTATCGAGGAAAAGTTATATCGCGATACTTATCGTTATCGTTTTATCGCCCAGCCCTAAACTGAGATCAGTGTTGCCAATTTACAGGGCATATTTGTTGCTATGAGTTGCTAAATGAAAAGATCCCAAACATCAACCAATCAATGTTTAACGAACTACCTGCCAAGTTCACATCACCACTCCACACTTTCTGCCACTGTAAACTGCAGAACAACTTTTTCTTTCTTACATTTAAAATGTTATTAAGGAATGAATCAGGTATCGAGTAAATCCTCAGAGAAGTAGAAATAAACGGCATCATTCGCAGACACTGATGTACAGTGTAGTGTAAAGACACAGAACGCTAAAGTTTTACTGCTTCATTTAAGCACAAATGCCACTGCTATCAAAATAAGAGTCCTGAATATGTGTACAGTTTATTTATGTTCTTTAATTTTACTTAACGTGGCACATATTCATTATCAATTTATACTGCTACTACTACTACTACTAGTACAAATAATATTAATAACTAATTATAAATCTTATTCCTTTTTGGGGCAATATCTTAATGGATAGTTAGACTTTTGTTTTCACTTCATGAAAAATGTATTACTCTTTCCACAAAAAAATAATAAATACACATTCTAGTACGACAGTAAAGATGTGGAGGTTAGTTTTGGCCTAATAACTAAATAAGGCAGAAAACATGGGGGGAGCAGGGGCTTCTTCTCCAGGTTACCCTATTAGAAATGTATTGATTACACAGACATTGACTCACACAAAATATTTTAGTCAAGCTGTCAATTAAAAATTCCCTTTCTTTATAAATAAAAGAAAAAAGAATGATTGGAGAAAGTAGAAAAATAAAAACACGGTACACTCTAAGCACAGACCAACAGTGACTTACTGCATTATTGTTTATTGTAGTTCTTATTTTACTAATAATATTAATATGAAATACATTACAAGGAGTGTCCTATATAATATAATATAATGTAATATAATATAATATATTATTTGTATAAAACTGCATTTAAATGATATTTCTGGTTGTCATGATTTAACATAGAATAAAATATTTAAAAATTATGTTCAGGTTTATAATTAAAAACAGCATAAATTCTGTTGGTATTATTAATAATAGTGGGTATATTTAGTTTATAGTGTTGTGGTTTTATTAATATTATTTTTGTTGTTGTTGTTGTTGTTACTCCCTTGTAGGTACCCTTACATACATTTTTTGCACTCACATTTGTGGCCTCTGGCTTTTTGAAAACAGACAAAACACAAATAAAATGGCACTTTATGAAAAACTAATATGTTGTGAAAGTCTTTAATTTAAGAATGGCTTTAAGTAGTACTTTAGTTAAGAGGAGTTTCTGGAAACATCGCTAATTAATAAAACATTCTTTAGAACAAGTTAACAAAGTAGTTTTACAACCTGGAATTTTTGACAACACTTTTAATGTTAAATGAATGGAAACCATTGAGCTCCAAATAACTATTTCTGAGTTACCATAAACATAATCAGTCCACTGCTGTAACTGTCTTCACCATATTTATATTAATATTTTAAACTCTTTTTCTTGTTTCTCCATGTCACATTTCCAGACTGCAGACATTCAGAGAAGACCCTCCAGAGCCCAGCTGTGTGTCTATGAAGAGCAACAACTCAATGTATCTGCCTCCTCGTTTCAGTGATGAAAGACCCAGTACTGACCAGAGGTGAGACACTAAACTACCATGATAATGTGTTTCAGCAGGACGTCTCCCAGGAAGAATAACGTTACCTTTTTCTGCATGTGGACCACATCTCCACTTTACTGCCACTGATAATGGCTTTGTTTACCTGCAGGATCACGATTAGGTTCCTGCGATTATGATTACTAAGCTGGGAACACTGATGAAGAGTAAAAGAGAGCATAGAGAGTGTAATGCAGCTGTTCTCAAGCCACCTTAAAGCTCTTTTATATGAGAGAAAAAAAGTTAAATTAGGCAGAGGGACGGCCAGGACTCCTACAGAGGAAGGATAGAGGATAAGAGGGTCAGTATGAGGGACATATGGAGTGGTATGAAAGAGGTCATCTCCAGCTTCAGGCAGATGGGTGGGGGTGCAAAATGAATATAACGCTAATATAAAAATGTACTGAAACAAAGTAGAACTGAGAATATTGTAATTATTAGAATTTGCTTTTGAATAAACTTAAAAATATTATACAGCAAAAAAGTGTATACTTGCTGCACACCCAGTCAGAGCCACATTAAAATTTAAGATAGAAATATACATCTATTGTTCTTCGTATTGTCATCACAGTGTGCAAAACCTTGTGGCACATTGTATTTTATCTGTATCATGTGGTTCAGTTATTCACCACATTCTTTCTCTATTTCTCCTGGTAACTGAATGGTAACTAATCCTCTCCAACGATCTGATTTTTACTTCCCATCTGTATTAGCAGCTGTCTGATGTAGCTGTCTCTTTATGGTGTGTGTCTCCATCACATTTCCAGACTGCAGACATTCAGAGACCCTCCAGAGCCCAGCTGTGTGTCTATGAAGAGCAACAACTCAATGTTTCTGCCTCCTCGTTTCAGTGATGAAAGACCCAGTACTGACCAGAGGTGAGACACTAACCAACATGGTAGTGAGTTTCAGCAGGACGTCTCCCAGGAAGCTTCCTTTTGCTTTTTCTTGGACTTTATCTCCACTTTTAATTGCCACTTACAGAAAGCGTTGTTTGCTTGCATGATCAGCTGACGTTCCTGGTGTACAGTGTGTTGTCAGCAGAACATTTTGAGTGAAAAGTAGATTCATTGACACTTCAACATGAATTTCAAAATTTCTTACTGTTCTGAATGTCCTTCTTTTACTTTAATGACAGCGTGAACTTTAGCTGCACAGGTTTGTGCCAAAGCCTCTTCTGAGTAGATCAGACCCACCGAGATCCATCTGAACATGAGCTTCAGTGAAAGGAATAAGACTAAAAATGATTTGACCTTTTTGAACAAAGGCTTGTGGTGCCTTACAAGCAATGAAGGATCTAGACTGTCTTCATTTACATATAACTTTTCTTTGTTCTTCAAAATTTGAGCACTTTCTGCTGTTTATTTATAAGACTTTCAGTGTCCTGTCAGACTTTTGAACCCCCCTGTATCTTTAATTTATTTTACCTTTACCCAAGATTTATCAGCAGCATTTTACAATACAGCTCCTTAGTAAGCTAAGAACTGTGCACAAACAGATCATGAGCTAATCTAGTAATTACCTGTAATGAATGATGCGTTACGCTTCATTATTTATGAATGAAAATGAGAAGGACTCGGTTGTTCCTGCAGTAGTTAACATCCATTAAAGTACATTTACAGAATGAACAGATAAATTAACTCATACAGTAACTAGGATAAACTAATATAGTAACTGAGATAGAGCTGGGCGATATGGCCAAAAACATTATCATGATAAACAAAATTCACATCGTTCAATATCGATACATATCGAGATAAATGTCATCATGATTTCTTTCACATTTGAAGGCTACTTTTGCTCCTGGGTGGTTAATTGTGGTTTTAAACTATCAATTATGGTCTGATCATGACAAACACTCACCAAGCAGTGGAACATTTCACTAATCTGTCATGGGACAGTGGGAGAAAGTTTCTGAGTTGTTTTTATCAGCTGGAAAAGCACAGCTGCAATTTTTGTAATAGTCATGATTTAAGAAAGAAAACAGATTATTTTATCAGTCTGGTGACGAGCGCTCGGCTATCCAGTTACAAATACTGAACTAGTGGCCAACAACAGTGCTAAACTCTTTAGTTTCTCAACAACGTCAACTCGGTTTGGTAGGTCACTGCTGTCACTCCTACCACATCCATGTCAGAACAGATCACAGTATTCAGACACCAGCTAGCGACGACTGGGTTTCTCTGTTTAAGGGGTGAACCACAAAATATCTGACGCTCGCTGTGTAAAAGCATCATCTGCAGTGTGAATCTCTCACACCAGTCACAGAGTCCTCCTTTTAGGTATGTTTAAACTGAAAGCGGTGATTTTCTGTCTTGTTTGATCTACAGTATCATCAATTCACCGTGTTGTGCCGGAGCGCTGCTTCAAGTTAGCCAGCAGCTAAAAACAGCTAGCCTGGAAAGATGGCGCTCTCCCGCTCTCCAAAGCCTCACAGCTTCCTCAGTTTACTGTCGAACATGAATCCACTTCTTTCTTTCACTTTCGTTGCTCGAGAATGCACTAATACTAAAATATGGCGGTTTGGCGCTGCAGACGTGATTTAACACCGCTGAAGTTGTTAGTATGTAAGGAAAGAGGTGAGTTCACCGTAGGACAGTACAGTTACACCACTGACCTCGTCACTCGGTCACAGGAGAACCAACCGCCAGTCGCTCCACTCAAACAGGGACTGTATAACTCTGCGTTTCAGATGTTGCTAAAGTATATTTGGCGACCCTTTTTTTACTCGTGGCCTCCTCCCTCTCTAATCAAGTCGAAAAACTGGGAAGTGCGCCCTCTCCTGGTGACAGCAGAGTAGTGTCGCTTTCCTTGCAGTAGAAAACACCACCAGGGCTTTCGCTAAAACATGGAAGTGTGAGAATGGTGTATTATATCAAACGTTTATCGGACATGCCTTATCGCTCTATCGAGGAAAAGTTATATCGCGATACTTATCGTTATCGTTTTATCGCCCAGCCCTAAACTGAGATCAGTGTTGCCAATTTACAGGGCATATTTGTTGCTATGAGTTGCTAAATGAAAAGATCCCAAACATCAACCAATCAATGTTTAACGAACTACCTGCCAAGTTCACATCACCACTCCACACTTTCTGCCACTGTAAACTGCAGAACAGCTTTTTCTTTCTTACATTTAAAATGTTATTAAGGAATGAATCAGGTATCGAGTAAATCCTCAGAGAAGTAGAAATAAACGGCATCATTCGCAGACACTGATGTACAGTGTAGTGTAAAGACACAGAACGCTAAAGTTTTACTGCTTCATTTAAGCACAAATGCCACTGCTATCAAAATAAGAGTCCTGAATATGTGTACAGTTTATTTATGTTCTTTAATTTTACTTAACGTGGCACATATTCATTATCAATTTATACTGCTAGTACTGCTACTACTAGTACAAATAATATTAATAACTAATTATAAATCTTATTCCTTTTTGGGGCAATATCTTAATGGATAGTTAGACTTTTGTTTTCACTTCATGAAAAATGTATTACTCTTTCCACAAAAAAATAATAAATACACATTCTAGTACGACAGTAAAGATGTGGAGGTTAGTTTTGGCCTAATAACTAAATAAGGCAGAAAACATGGGGGGAGCAGGGGCTTCTTCTCCAGGTTACCCTATTAGAAATGTATTGATTACACAGACATTGACTCACACAAAATATTTTAGTCAAGCTGTCAATTAAAAATTCCCTTTCTTTATAAATAAAAGAAAAAAGAATGATTGGAGAAAGTAGAAAGATAAAAACACGGTACACTCTAAGCACAGACCAACAGTGACTTACTGCATTATTGTTTATTGTAGTTCTTATTTTACTAATAATATTAATATGAAATACATTACAAGGAGTGTCCTATATAATATAATATAATGTAATATAATATAATATATTATTTGTATAAAACTGCATTTAAATGATATTTCTGGTTGTCATGATTTAACATAGAATAAAATATTTAAAAATTATGTTCAGGTTTATAATTAAAAACAGCATAAATTCTGTTGGTATTATTAATAATAGTGGGTATATTTAGTTTATAGTGTTGTGGTTTTATTAATATTATTTTTGTTGTTGTTGTTGTTGTTACTCCCTTGTAGGTACCCTTACATACATTTTTTGCACTCACATTTGTGGCCTCTGGCTTTTTGAAAACAGGCAAAACACAAATAAAATGGCACTTTATGAAAAACTAATATGTTGTGAAAGTCTTTAATTTAAGAATGGCTTTAAGTAGTACTTTAGTTAAGAGGAGTTTCTGGAAACATCGCTAATTAATAAAACATTCTTTAGAACAAGTTAACAAAGTAGTTTTACAACCTGGAATTTTTGACAACACTTTTAATGTTAAATGAATGGAAACCATTGAGCTCCAAATATCTATTTCTGAGTTACCATAAATATAATCAGTCCACTGCTGTAACTGTCTTCACCATATTTATATTAATATTTTAAACTCTTTTTCTTGTTTCTCCATGTCACATTTCCAGACTGCAGACATTCATAGAAGACCCTCCAGAGCCCAGCTGTGTGTCTATGAAGAGCAACAACTCAATGTTTCTGCCTCCTCGTTTCAGTGATGAAAGACCCAGTACTGACCAGAGGTGAGACACTAAACTAACATGGTAGTGAGTTTCAGCAGGACGTCTCCCAGGAAGCTTCCTTTTGCTTTTTCTTGGACTTTATCTCCACTTTTAATTGCCACTTACAGAAAGCGTTGTTTGCTTGCATGATCAGCTGACGTTCCTGGTGTACAGTGTGTTGTCAGCAGAACATTTTGAGTGAAAAGTAGATTCATTGACACTTCAACATGAATTTCAAAATTTCTTACTGTTCTGAATGTCTTTCTTCTACTTTAATGACAGCGTGAACTTTAGCTGCACAGGTTTGTGCCAAAGCCTCTTCTGAGTAGATCAGACCCACTGAGATCCATCTGAACATGAGCTTCAGTGAAAGGAATGAGACTAAAAATGATTTGACCTTTTTGAACAAAGGCTTGTGGTGCCCAACAAGCAGTGAAGGATCTAGACTGTCTTCATTTACATATAACTTTTCTTTGTTCTTCAAAGTTTGAGCACTTTCTGCTGTTTATTTATAAGACTTTCAGTGTCCTGTCAGACTCTTGAACCCCCCTGTATCTTTAATTTATTTTACCTTTACCCAAGATTTATCAGCAGCATTTTACAATACAGCTCCTTAGTAAGCTAAGAACTGTGCACAAACAGATCATGAGCTAATCTAGTAATTACCTGTAATGAATGATGCGTTACGCTTCATTATTTCTGAATGAAAATGAGAAGGACTCGGTTGTTCCTGCAGTAGTTAACATCCGTTAAAGTACATTTACAGAATGAACAGATAAATTAACTCATACAGTAACTAGGATAAACTAATATAGTAACTGAGATAGAGCTGGGCGATATGGCCAAAAACGTTATCACGATAAACAAAATTCACATCGTTCGATATCGATACATATCGAGATAAATGTCATCATGATTTCTTTCACATTTGAAGGCTAATTTTGCTCCTGGGTGGTTAATTGTGGTTTTAAACTATCAATTATGGTCTGATCATGACAAACACTCACCAAACAGTGGAACATTTCACTAATCTGTCATGGGACAGTGGGAGAAAGTTTCTGAGTTGTTTTTATCAGCTGGAAAAGCACAGCTGCAATTTTTGTAATAGTCATGATTTAAGAAAGAAAACAGATTATTTTATCAGTCTGGTGACGAGCGCTCGGCTATCCCGTTACAAATACTGAACTAGTGGCCAACAACAGTGCTAAACTCTTTAGTTTCTCAACAACGTCAACTCGGTTTGGTAGGTCACTGCTGTCACTGCTACCACATCCATGTCAGAACATATCACAGTATTCAGACACCAGCTAGCGACGACTGGGTTTCTCTGTTTAAGGGGTGAACCACAAAATATCTGACGCTCGCTGTGTAAAAGCATCATCTGCAGTGTGAATCTCTCACACCAGTCACAGAGTCCTCCTTTTAGGTATGTTTAAACTGAAAGCGGTGATTTTGTGTCTTGTTTGATCTACAGTATCATCAATTCACCGTGTTGTGCCGGAGCGCTGCTTCAAGTTAGCCAGCAGCTAAAAACAGCTAGCCTGGAGAGACAGCGCTCTCCCGCTCTCCAAAGCCTCACAGCTTCCTCAGTTTACTTTCGAACATGAATCCACTTCTTTCTTTCACTTTCGTTGCTCGAGAATGCACTAATACTAAAATATGGCGGTTTGGCGCTGTAACACGGCGCTGCAGACGTGATTTAACACCGCTGAAGTTGTTAGTATGTAAGGAAAGAGGTGAGTTCACCGTAGGACAGTACAGTTACACCACTGACCTCGTCACTCGGTCACAGGAGAACCAACCGCCGGTCGCTCCACTCAAACAGGGACTGTATAACTCTGCGTTTCAGATGTTGCTAAAGTATATTTGGCGACCCTTTTTTACTCGTGGCCTCCTCCCTCTCTAATCAAGTCGAAAAACTCAGAAGTGCGCCCTCTCCTGGTGACAGCAGAGTAGTGTCGCTTTCCTTGCAGTAGAAAACACCACCAGGGCTTTCGCTAAAACATGGAAGTGTGAGAATGGTGTATTATATCAAACATTTTTCGGACATGCCTTATCGCTCTATCGAGGAAAAGTTATATCGCGATACTTATCGTTATCGTTTTATCGCCCAGCCCTAAACTGAGATCAGTGTTGCCAATTTACAGGGCATATTTGTTGCTATGAGTTGCTAAATGAAAAGATCCCAAACATCAACCAATCAATGTTTAACGAACTACCTGCCAAGTTCACATCACCACTCCACACTTTCTGCCACTGTAAACTGCAGAACAGCTTTTTCTTTCTTACATTTAAAATGTTATTAAGGAATGAATCAGGTATCGAGTAAATCCTCAGAGAAGTAGAAATAAACGGCATCATTCGCAGACACTGATGTACAGTGTAGTGTAAAGACACAGAACGCTAAAGTTTTACTGCTTCATTTAAGCACAAATGCCACTGCTATCAAAATAAGAGTCCTGAATATGTGTACAGTTTATTTATGTTCTTTAATTTTACTTAACGTTGCACATATTCATTATCAATTTATACTGCTAGTACTGCTACTACTAGTACAAATAATATTAATAACTAATTATAAATCTTATTCCTTTTTGGGGCAATATCTTAATGGATAGTTAGACTTTTGTTTTCACTTCATGAAAAATGTATTACTCTTTCCACAAAAAAATAATAAATACACATTCAAGTACGACAGTAAAGATGTGGAGGTTAGTTTTGGCCTAATAACTAAATAAGGCAGAAAACATGGGGGGAGCAGGGGCTTCTTCTCCAGGTTACCCTATTAGAAATGTATTGATTACACAGACATTGACTCACACAAAATATTTTAGTCAAGCTGTCAATTAAAAATTCCCTTTCTTTATAAATAAAAGAAAAAAGAATGATTGGAGAAAGTAGAAAAATAAAAACACGGTACACTCTAAGCACAGACCAACAGTGACTTACTGCATTATTGTTTGTTGTAGTTCTTATTTTACTAATAATATTAATATGAAATACACTACAAGGAGTGTCCTATATAATATAATATAATGTAATATAATATAATATATTATTTGTATAAAACTGCATTTAAATGATATTTCTGGTTGTCATGATTTAACATAGAATAAAATATTTAAAAATTATGTTCAGGTTTATAATTAAAAACAGCATAAATTCTGTTGGTATTATTAATAATAGTGGGTATATTTAGTTTATAGTGTTGTGGTTTTATTAATATTATTTTTGTTGTTGTTGTTGTTGTTACTCCCTTGTAGGTACCCTTACATACATTTTTTGCACTCACATTTGTGGCCTCTGGCTTTTTGAAAACAGGCAAAACACAAATAAAATGGCACTTTATGAAAAACTAATATGTTGTGAAAGTCTTTAATTTAAGAATGGCTTTAAGTAGTACTTTAGTTAAGAGGAGTTTCTGGAAACATCGCTAATTAATAAAACATTCTTTAGAACAAGTTAACAAAGTAGTTTTACAACCTGGAATTTTTGACAACACTTTTAATGTTAAATGAATGGAAACCATTGAGCTCCAAATATCTATTTCTGAGTTACCATAAATATAATCAGTCCACTGCTGTAACTGTCTTAATCATATTTATATTAATATTTAACTCTTTCTTGTTTCTCCACATCACATTTCCAGACTGCAGACATTCATAGAAGACCCTCCAGAGCCCAGCTGTGTGTCTATGAAGAGCAACAACTCAATGTATCTGCCTCCTCGTTTCAGTGATGAAAGACCCAGTACTGACCAGAGGTGAGACACTAAACTACCATGATAATGTGTTTCAGCAGGACGTCTCCCAGGAAGAATAACGTTACCTTTTTCTGCATGTGGACCACATCTCCACTTTACTGCCACTGATAATGGCTTTGTTTACCTGCAGGATCACGATTAGGTTCCTGCTATTATGATTACTAAGCTGGGAACACTGATGAAGAGTAAAAGAGAGCATAGGGAGTGTAATGCAGCTGTTCTCAAGCCACCTTAAAGCTCTTTTATATGAGAGAAAAAAAGTTAAATTAAGCAGAGGGACGGCCAGGACTCCTACAGAGGAAGGATAGAGGATAAGAGGGTCAGTATGAGGGACATATGGAGTGGTATGAAAGAGGTCATCTCCAGCTTCAGGCAGATGGGTGGGGGTGCAAAATGAATATAACACTAATATAAAAATGTACTGAAACAAAGTAGAACTGAGAATATTGTAATTATTAGAATTTGCTTTTGAATAAACTTAAAAATATTATACAGCAAAAAGTGTATACTTGCTGCACACCCAGTCAGAGCCACATTAAAATTTAAGATAGAAATATACATCTATTGTTCTTCGTATTGTCATCACAGTGTGCAAAACCTTGTGGCACATTGTATTTTATCTGTATCATGTGGTTCAGTTATTCACCACATTCTTTCTCTATTTCTCCCGGTAACTGAATGGTAACTAATCCTCTCCAATGATCTGATTTTTACTTCCCATCTGTATTAGCAGCTGTCTGATGTAGCTGTCTCTTTATGGTGTGTGTCTCCATCACATTTCCAGACTGCAGACATTCAGAGACCCTCCAGAGCCCAGCTGTGTGTCTATGAAGAGCAACAACTCAATGTTTCTGCCTCCTCGTTTCAGTGATGAAAGACCCAGTACTGACCAGAGGTGAGACACTAAACTAACATGGTAGTGAGTTTCAGCAGGACGTCTCCCAGGAAGCTTCCTTTTGCTTTTTCTTGGACTTTATCTCCACTTTTAATTGCCACTTACAGAAAGCGTTGTTTGCTTGCATGATCAGCTGACGTTCCTGGTGTACAGAGTGTTGTCAGCAGAACATTTTGAGTGAAAAGTAGATTCATTGACACTTCAACATGAATTTCAAAATTTCTTACTGTTCTGAATGTCCTTCTTTTACTTTAATGACAGCGTGAACTTTAGCTGCACAGGTTTGTGCCAAAGCCTCTTCTGAGTAGATCAGACCCACTGAGATCCATCTGAACATGAGCTTCAGTGAAAGGAATAAGACTAAAAATGATTTGACCTTTTTGAACAAAGGCTTGTGGTGCCCAACAAGCAGTGAAGGATCTAGACTGTCTTCATTTACATATAACTTTTATTTGTTCTTCAAAGTTTGAGCACTTTCTGCTGTTTATTTATAAGACTTTCAATGTCCTGTCAGACTCTTGAACCCCCCTGTATCTTTAATTTATTTTACCTTTACCCAAGATTTATCAGCAGCATTTTACAATACAGCTCCTTAGTAAGCTAAGAACTGTGCACAAACAGATCATGAGCTAATCTAGTAATTACCTGTAATGAATGATGCGTTACGCTTCATTATTTCTGAATGAAAATGAGAAGGACTCGGTTGTTCCTGCAGTAGTTAACATCCGTTAAAGTACATTTACAGAATGAACAGATAAATTAACTCATACAGTAACTAGGATAAACTAATATAGTAACTAAGATCAGTGTTGTCAGTTTCCAGGGCATATTTGTTATGAGTTGCTAAATGAAAAGTACCCAAACATCAACCAATCAGTGTTTAACAGACTACCTGCCTAGTTCACATCACCACTCCACACTTTCTGCCACTGTACATTTAAAATGTTATTAAGGAATTAATCAGTTATCCAGTAAATCCTCAGAGAAGGAGAAATAAACAGCATCGTTCACAGACACTGATGTACAGTGTAGTGTAAAGACACAGAACATCTTTCATCACTGAAACGAGGAGGCTGATACATTGAGTTGGTGCTCTTTATAGACACACAGCTGGGCTCTGGAGGGTCTGATCTGTATGTCTGTAGTCTGGAAATGTGATGTGGAGAAACAAGAAAAAGAGTTAAAAATATTAATATAAATATGGAGAAGACAGTTACAGCAATTTTAATGCTTCATTTAAGCACAAACGCCACTGCTATCAACATAAGAGTCCTGAATATGTGTACAGTTTATTTATGTTCTTTAATTTTACTTAACGTTGCACATATTCATTATCAATTTATACTGCTAGTACTGCTACTACTAGTACAAATAATATCAGTAATAACAATAATATCAATAATAACAATAATAATAACAATAATAATATTAATAAATCTAATTCATTTTTTGGGGCAATGGATAGTTAATTTTATGTTTTCACTTCATGAAAAATGTATTACTCTTTCCACAAAAAAAAATAATAAATACACATTCAAGTACGACAGTAAAGATGTGGAGGTTAGTTTTGGCCTAATAACTAAATAAGGCAGAAAAATGGGGAAACAGGGGCTTCTTCTCCAGGTTACCCTATTAGAAATGCATTGATTACACAGACATTGACTCACACAAAATATTTTAGTCAAGCTGTCAATTAAAAATTCCCTTTCTTTATAAATACAAGAGAAAGAATGATTGGAGAAAGTAGAAAAATAAAAACACGGTACACTCTAAGCACAGAAAAACAGTGACTTACTGCATCATTGTTTATTGTAGTTCTTATTTTACTAATAATATTAATATAAAATACACTACAAGGATTGTCCTATATAATGTAATATATAAAAACATATTTGTATAAAACTGCATTTAAATTATATTTCTGGTTGTCATGATTTAACATAGAATAAAATATTTAAAAATTATGTTCAGGATTATAATTAAAAACAGCATAAATTCTGTTGGTATTATTAATAGTAATGGGTATAATATTTAGTTTATAGTATTGTGGTTTTATTATTTTTGTTGTTACTCCCTTGTAGGTACCTTTATATACATTTTTTGCACTCACATTTGTGGCCTCTGGCTTTTTGAAGACAGACAAAACACAAATAAAATGGCATTTTGTTAAAAACTAATGTTGTGTATGTCTTTAATTTAAGAATGGGTTTAAGTGGTACTTTAGTTAAGAGGAGTTTCTGGAAACATCGCTAATTAACAAACATTCTTTAGAACAAGTTAACAAAGTAGTTTTACAACCTGGAATTTTTGACAACACTTTTAATGTTAAATGAATGGAAACCATTGAGCTCCAAATAACTATTTCTGAGTTAACATGAATATAATCAGTCCACTTCTATAGCTGTCTTCTCCATCTGATCTGATTTTTACTTCACATCTGTATTAGCAGCTGGCTGATGTAGCTGTCTCTCTTTGTTGTGTGTCTCCATCACATTTCCAGACTGCAGACATTCAGAGAAGACCCTCCAGAGCCCAGCTGTGTGTCTATAAAGAGCACCAACTCGATGTATCTGCCTCCTCGTTTCAGTGATGAAAGACCCAGTACTGACCTGAGGTGAGACACAAAACTAACATGGTCATGATTTTTGCAGGACGTTCCACAGGAAGCATCTTTTTATTTTTTCTTGTACTTGGACCACATCTCCACTTCTTACTACCATTGGTAAAGGCATTGTTTACATGCCTGATCATGTGATGTACCTAGTGTGTCTGGCACTGCTGAGGCAATTATGACCGTAAAGGCCACTGCACACCGGACACGCCACGCTGGACACTCCCCTAATACTCCTGTATCCAGTCACAGCTGCTACACAGAGGAGGCAGATTCACATTTGTGTGGTTTTCTACTCTGCTTTTTTGTCCCATTGTAAATCTTTTTTCTGTGCCAAACAAACAGAGTCAGAAGAATTTGAGAGTGAGTTAATGTGGTGCTCTAGTTAAGAGGGGTTTCTGGAAACTCTCACTAATCAACAAACATTCTTTAGAACAAGTGAACAAAGTAACCTAGAATTTCTGACAAGACCTTTAATCTTAAATGAATGTAAACCATTTACCTCCAAATATCTCTGTCTGTATTACTATAATCGGATGTCTGTTTTAGCTGTCTTAACAATATTTATATTAATATTTAACTCTTTTCTTGTTTCTCCACATCACATTTCCAGACTGCAGACATTCAGAGACCCTCCAGAGCCCAGCTGTGTGTCTATGAAGAGCAACAACTCAATGTATCAGCCTCCTCGTTTCAGTGATGAAAGACCCAGTACTGACCAGAGGTGAGACACTAACCAACATGGTAGTGAGTTTCTGCAGGACGTCTCCCAGGAAGCTTCCTTTTGCTTTTTCTTGGACTTTATCTCCACTTTTAATTGCCTCTTACAAAAAGCGTTTACTTGCATGATCAGCTGACGTTCCTGGTGTACAGTGTGTTATCAGCAGAATTTTGAGTGAAAAGTAGATTCATCGACAATTTAACAAGAATTTCAAAATTTCTTACCATTTTGAATGTCCTTCTTTTACTTTAATGACAGCATGAACTTTAGCTGCACAGGAGCTCCTTCACTTAGAGGGCTAATAGACATAAGTGTGTAGTACCAGTACTGACTTGAGGTAAGACTCAAACACAGCATAGCAGTGTTTTCTTGCACTTGGACCACAGCTTCTAACAGCCTGTGATGACAGCATTCTTTACATGCGTATCTTGTCTGTCTGGCAGTAGTGAGCCAGCTTCTTTCAGTCTGTAGACAAGACTTGTTACATCATTTCTGTTAACACTTTTAATCTTAACTGAATGAAAGCCAGCAATCCCTAAATATCTGTATTCTTATTCCTGTAAATATAATCAGCTCTCTGATGTAGCAGAGTCCAGCTGTGTGTCTATGAAGAGTGCCAACTCAATGTATCAGCCTCCTGGTTTCAGTAATGAAAGAATGAATACTTACTTGAAGTGAGACATGAACACAACATGATAGTTATTTTTGCAGGATGTCACCCAGGATACATGTTTTAGGTTTTCTCTTGCATTTGGGCCACATTTCCACTTGTTACTGCCGTTGATAATGGCATGGTTTACATGCCTGATCATGTGATATATCTAGTGTGTCTGGCACTTCTGAGGCAATTATGACTGTAAAGGCCACTGCACAACTAATACTCCTGTATCCAGTCACAGCTGCTACACAGAGGAGGCAGATACACATTTGTGTGGTTTTCTACTCCACTTTTTTTTGTCCTATTCTAATTTTTTTTTTTTTTATGCCAAACGAAGAGAGTCAAGACACTGGATGCAGTGATGTAATTGCAGTCATCTGCACTCTCAGTCTGCAGAGTTTTTTTTTAGAGTTTTTGTACTTATAAAACTTGTACTTATAAAATTGTATTACTATTATTTATATTCCAGTATGTTTATGAGACAAGCAATCTTTTTTTTACTCACATTTACTCAATTAACATTTATTAATTCATTTTTGAGTTTCTTTCTTTCTTTTTCTTTCGAGTGCATTAACACTGCTTTGCAGTTGGTCAACTTTTGACATCCTTGTGTTTTCACTATAAATGTGTGAAAAACACATTTTTTGTCAGTTTGTCTTAGGGTTAAGCCAATTAACAATAATATCCTGTATTTACGACAAATCCGATGGATCCATATAATATCGGAGAAGAGTCATTTAACTGAAATTTTGAAAATTTGAAATGACCAACAGTAGACATTTTGTACACATTCATGCATTTACTTTATTACTCTTTAAGACTTTGTATAAAAAAAACTATGTATATATAATATTGCACATAATATCTCAGAGGCCTAGTGTGTTTGTCAGTGAAATACTACTACTTTGTGTTACAGTCACAATTATGTTTCATTTCTCAAACACTCACATTCTTCTTACTCTTCTGTTATCTTTTTCTTTTCTCTAGCTGTGTGAAGGATGCACCACTCCAGGATCCGTCCAAGTGTGGAGTGTGTGAGCAGATTCAGACAGATCCAGTCTCTATCAACTGTGGACACACTTTCTGTAGACAGTGCATCAACAGCTATTGGAACCAGTCTGCTCAGTCAGGAGTCTTTGCCTGTCCCCAATGCAGAAAGAGGTCTAAGACACGTCCTGTTCTACATCAACCCATAGAGGAGTCCATGCAGAAGGAAGCAGTGTGTGATGTCCTGCAAAGAGTCAGAGAGAGACACAAAACCAGCATGAAGAAAAAATATGAGAGCTTATTTGAGGGATTCAAAACACAAGAGAATAAAACCCTCCTGAACAGGATTTACACTCAGCTCTACATCATAGAGGGAGAGAGTGAAGGAGTGAATGAAGAACATGAAGTTCTACAGATTGAAAAAACACTTTGGGACCAACACTGGCAGGATACACCAATTAACTGCTTAGACATCTTTAAACCTGTACAGTGCACTGTAGGAGAAATGGAAGAAGACAGCATCAGAACTGTGATGGCTGAAGGTGTCAGATATGAAGAAAGAGTAGAAGATGAAGGTCCACAAGTGCAGAAACTCAGAACTGTGCTGACTAAAGGAATTGCTGGCATTGGAAAAACAGTCTCTGTGCAGAAGTTCATTCTGGACTGGGCTGAAGGAAAAGCCAATCAGGATGTAGATTTGATGTTTGTGGTTCAATTCCGAGAGCTGAACCTGATTAAAGATCACCAGTACAGTCTTCATAGACTTCTGTGTGGCTTCCATCCTGAGCTCAGAGATCTGGACACAAAGATATATGATGAGTGTAAAATGGTGTTCATATTTGATGGCCTGGATGAAAACAGAATTCCACTGAACTTCTTACAGTGTGAGAACCTGTCAGATATAACCAAGGTGTCACCACTGGATGTGCTAATGACAAACCTCATCAAAGGAGAGCTGCTTCCCTCTGCTCACATCTGGATAACCTCTCGACCAGCAGCAGCCAATCAGATCCCTCGTCAGTACATCAACCGTGTGACAGAAATTCAGGGATTCAATGACCCACAGAAGGAGGAATACTTCAGAAAGAGAATCAGTGACCAAGACCAAGCCAACAGTGTCATCTCACACATTAAGAAAACAAGGAGTCTCCACATCATGTGCCACATTCCAGTCTTCTGTTGGATCTCAGCCACTGTGCTTCAGCACATAATGAAACAGGGTATTACAGAAATTCCTAAAACTCTGACTGCAATGTATTCACACTTTCTGAGCACTCAGACAATCATGAGGAATGAGAAGTATGAGGAAAATTCTGAGATAAATCCAAAGGATCTCTTGGGATCCAACAGAAAGTTGCTTCTGAAACTGGCTGAACTGGCTTTCAAACAGCTGATGAAGGGCAATGTGATGTTCTATGAAGAGGACCTGAGAGAGTGCGGCATTGATGTCACTGAGGCCTCAGTGTACTCTGGCATTTGCACTGAGATCTTTAGAGAAGAATTTTTGCTTTACCAGAAGAAGGTCTACTGCTTTGTTCATCTGAGCTTTCAGGAGTTCCTGGCTGCTCTCTATGTGTTTCACTGCTATGTGAGCCAGAACATGGAGGAACTGCAAGTTTTTAAGATACAGAACAAAAAGCAGTCTGACAGCATTTCATTGGAAGATCTGCTAAGGGGAGCTGTACAAAAAGCTGTAAAGAGTGAGAATGGAAACCTGGATCTGTTTCTCCGTTTTCTGCTGGGAATTTCACTGGAGTCCAATCAACGGCTCTTAAAAGACCTTCTGACTCAAACAGTGAGCAGCTCAGAGAGCATCAACAAAACAGTTCAGTACATCAAACGCCTAATACCAACAGAGAACCTTTCTTCAGAGAAATCCATCAACCTGTTCCTCTGTCTCACTGAAATGAATGACCAGTCTTTATCCCAAAAAATCCAGGAATATCAGAAATCTAATAAAGACTCGAAAAAGAAACTGTCTAGTGGAGAGTGTTTAGCACTGGCCTACATGCTTGTGACTTCTGAGGAGGTGCTGGATGAGCTGAACCTGAAAAATTACAACACAACCAGGAGTGGTCATTTGAGATTGATCCCAGCTGTGAGCAACTGCAAGAAGGCTATGTGAGTGTTACATCTGAATTAATGTATTTGATGGCTGAGAGGGTTGCGTTGACAAATACATTTTCCTTGTAATAGTGGGATAGGATGGCTAATAAATTGTGCACACAAGTAACAAGGTAACAAAGCGTTTCAGTGTAAATATTAGGAATGTTCAGTTTAGATTCACTACCACCACCTGGGGAAATTTCATATCAGTAACTCTGACCTATAACAGAATAATGCACATCACCACAGGGCTGTAAATCCCATTGATAAAACACTGATACTCTCTTTAAGACAGCGTTGCATTCCATGAAGTCATTATAATGAACAACAGCCAAACAAGCGGCAGTGAAATGGGATACTAGCTATGTGTAATTGCACGCAACCTGTGGAAGAACATTTTGTAACATCAGTGGTGCTTCGGAACTCCACAAGCAAATGAACTTAAATTTTGCGAGTGTGTTGTAAGAGTATTCGAAAAGAACTCAATGTAAACTTGGTGAAGGATTTGTCTTCCGAGGATGTGAGTGAATTATCCACTATTATCATCATATCTTCATCAGTATAATGTTGATTTTGCATCTGAAGCATAAACATAGAGTCAGACCTTTAGTTTGACACTGCACGTGTGATGTTACATTGTAAAGTCGTGTTGTGGTCCAAAAACTCCTGCAAAATCTGTCCCAGTACCTCTTTTAAATGATTATTTCAGTCTTTTCAGGGCGACTCAAGGCAGCGCACACTCATCATATTTTAATATCTTTTTTTGTCCCGTACATACTCAGTAATGACACTTCTTTCAATTTCCATTAAAAAAATATTACACAGTGCTGCTTTAAGTATCACAGTGTGTAATGATTTTATGTAAGAGAACGTGGTAAAAACACACATTATTGATAGCAGTGCAGTGTTAGTATTTTTGCTGACATTGGAAGAACACTTAACACTTAATATGCTGTAAGTTTAGTTAAGTTTAAATCATGTTCATGTTTTTTTGCCCTGCTCTCCAAAATGTCTGTGCACAAGCCTCCAATAAATTCAAATTCTTATACAGAGCTTTCTGTTCTCAGTAAAATCACAAGTCCTAGAATAAATTAAAATACTTAGTTTTAATCGACAGTGCTATCCACTAAAGATGGCAAAAGATGGCAAATTTTTGATGCAGTTGTGATTTTGCCACACCAATGTTGTTTAAAGACTCTGCTATTTGTGTTTACTGTAAGGACAACATCTATTTGTATTTGGTATTATTTGTATTTATTATTATTTATATTTATTATTATACTATTATGATGATTAACATAATATTAATAATAACAAGAGTAACATTAGTATTCTTACAAGCGGTAGTGTCCAGAGACTTAATCCACAGATTTAAATGGTTTATACAGAACGATTTATAAAAGTAACATCATAAAGCGTTATAGAAGTAATAACATGGGCATTTAGTGTGCTGCATTTTAGAAACACAAGAAATGTAAAGTAGTGACAATGATGGGTGAAGAGGCATGATCCATGCACATGTTTTGTTTTTAAAGTCTGGTTGAGCATATGGGAATTAATGTACACGCAGAAATGAAAAACACAGGAATATGTAAATGAGCAAAACAAAGATTACTAGAAACTAGAATAAAACTCTGGCCATGGATACTGTGACATCCATTTTACCATAACACAGTAGATTGCAAATATATTCTGTGAAGCCAATATAAAGGCTGATATGGAGTGTCTACTAATCATTTCTCTCATTTTCTGTCTAAAAAAGAGAGAAAAAACAAAATGTGGAAAAAAGATGTGCAAATGGGAATATTCACACAGAACAAATATTCAGATTGAGCCCATTACTTTCTGAGTGAATATAATAGAACCCGCAACATACAAAGTGCTATTTTACTCAGAAATGACATTATTCCTGATTTATGTGAGCTTGAATTCCACAGTCTTTGTTTGAACTGTACATGTTTGTCTTGTAGACTAGCTGGGTGTAAACTTACCACGCACTCCTGTGAAACTCTCTGCTCTGCTCTGAAATCAACCAACTCACTCCTGAAAGCACTGGACCTCAGTAACACTGGCCTGAAGGACTCAGAAGGGAAGCTGCTCACTGCTGCACTGAAGAGTTCAAACTGTGTACTGGAGATACTCAGGTGAGCTTTCTGTAAATTCATTCCTGAATGTAAAAAAGTTAGGCTGTGAAAGCACAAACTGTGCACTCACAATTCTCAGGTAAATTAGGCAGAAGCCAGGTGAAATACACTCTTTATCTTCAGTTTCCCTACAAACCCTCATCCCCAGAACACATGCATGCATGCTACATAGGCTATAACACCTGACAGATGCTTGACTTGTAAATGATTTTCAGAAATAAAATGACACAGGCAGACAATAACAATATCAATGAACTCAGAAGTGTGTTAACATTGGCACATTGTGGGCTGACTTCTTATGAACCCAGAATCCATTCTTTTGCTGTAGATGGGCTAATACTGTTTAATTGACAGACTGATATAGCACAGCACAACACAGTACATCAGCTCCACAGTTCAGAATATTTCCTCTGTTATTATTTCTTTCCAAACTACCAGCTTTCTCAGTGGGTCTTAATAGGTTTGTAAAAAAAAAAAAAAATAGGTTTGTAACTCCTCATTTGGAATATTTTTGTCATATTTAAAGAGCATCTGGGGCAGCTATAGAGAGCACATTAATGTTTCCCCTGAGCTCACACCACCTCATTTCAACACTCATTGTCCAGTTAGTCAGCTCCACTTATGTAAGTGCCCTTTGCAGTTGTACAATTTCTCTGCAAACTTTGTTTGCCCCCTTTTACCCTGTCCTTCAATGGTGAGGATCTTTGCAGAACCACCACAGAGCAGATATTATTTGGTGGATCATTCTCAGCACTGCAGTGACATTGATGTGTTGGTGGTATGTTAGTATATGCTGTGCTGGTATGAGTGGGTCTGTAGTGATTTTTTTAAATTGGCTATTTCACCCACCTGTGGTCTGTAAAAAATATATGACCCATTGTGACTACGAAATGTGAATCAGACAGTTGATGCGTCATTGTGTAATATCATATAACTGACGGCAATGGTGAAAAAATATAGAGAAACAGTACATAAGTGAACGTGTGGCAGCCATGTCAAAATCTTAGTCAATTAAAAGTGAAAGTTTGGAGCCATCACTTATTTTGAAAGAGCATTAACTCTGAAGCTTTCACTTTGTAAGTAGTTTACATTCATTTTCCTGTGCTGAGGCTAATATCAAGCAGCAATTCTAGCTTAAACGCTACCATTCAGTGCTTGTAATTATGCAAGTAACCTGGGTGCATTTTTGTATTTTGCAGTTTTAGTGAATTTTCTAGTAAATCATTTAACTTAAAGCCTAAAACATAATAGGATATGCATTTCTGCCAGGCTGGCTGTTAAAAAAAGAACGCATTCTTACATCAGGTATTTTACTTCATATGTATGGAGTTCATGACTAGGTTTTCTGTGACAGTTTATGGGTTACTCCTCTAAACATTGTCATTTCTTCCCACTAGCTCATCATTCCATTTCAGTGTTTCAGTTCACCAAAAAAGTATGAGCTTCAAGCAAATAACCAGTGTTAGTGTCTTTTTTTTGTTTTTTTGCATCCAAAGCAATAAAAAAAGTGAAAAACAAGCAAACAAACAAACAAACTTATGGCTCATGAAAATCAGCCAAAATAGCCATAAAGTAAAATCAGTCACACTTTACATGAAGGATCGCACATTAATGCATAATTATTTGCTAATATGTAATTCAAATAAGTAATTAAATATTTATATATTAACTGCTCATGAAATATTCATTACCTATTAAGTCATTAGTAACTGTTACCTGATAGTTTAGTCATTAGTCATTGGTTCATAGTTTATTTACTATTAATTAACAGTGTAAATGACTAATTTTTAATTACATAATCAGTAACTCATAATACCTAATGCTTAATGGACATCTTATTAATATATAAATAATGAGTTGTTAATGAGTTATTAATATATAAATATTAAACACTCTTTAAGTTGCAACCCTTAATGTAAAGCGTTACTGAAGAATCAGAAGCAGAATAAATCATAAAATGTCATGATCTGTGATTCTAGGATGAGTTAAATACCAGACTTTACCAGACAAGAAAGTGCACAAAAAGTATGCTGTAATTTATCAGTGTGATGACGTTGTGGGGATATTGCATGAACTCAAATAATTAATTAAATAAATAAATAAGTAAATAAAAGAATAAATAGAATGCATAAAATATCTGACTGACATTCAGTTTGGGTGGAGTAAGTACATTTTCATTTTGTTGTAGAGATGGGTAGTGTGCTTCTATACAGTGGTGTTTGAAAGTTTGTGAACCATTTAGAATTTTCTTTATTTCTGCATAACTTTCACCTAAAACTTCAGATTTTCACACATATTCTAATATAAGATAAAGAGAAGCAAATTAAACAAATGAAACAAAAATATTAGACTTGATAATTTTTTTATTGAGGAAAATTATCCAATATTACATATCTGTGAGTAGCAAAAGTATGCAAACCTTTAGAAATAGTAGGTAACTTGAAGGTGAAATTAGAGCCAGGTGTTTTCAATCAACAGGATGGCAATCAGGTGTGAGTGACCACCCTGTTTTACTTAAAGAACAGGGATCTATCACAGTCTGATCCTCACAACACGTTTGTGGAAGTGGCACAAACAAAGGAGATTTTGAGTTTTGATATTCATCAGGCTGAAAAAGGTTACAAAACCATCTCTAAAGAGTTTGGACTCCACCAGTCCACAGTCAGACAGATTGTGTACAAATAGAGAAAATTCAAGACCATTGTGATGCTCCCCAAGAGTGGTCAACGAAGATCACACCAAGAGCAAGGGGTGTAATAGTCCGCGAGGTCAAAAAGGAGCTGAAAGTAACATCTAATCAACTAAAGGCCTGCCTCACACTGTTAAACAACAATGGTGTGCATGGCAGGACTGCAAGGAGAAAGCTGCTGCTCTCCAAAAAGAACATGCTGCCTGTGTGCTAAAGATCACATGGACAAGCCAGAAGCTTTTGTAGACGGATGAGACCAAAATCGATCTTTTTGGTTTAAATGAGAAGCGTTACACGTAACACTGCATTCCAGCATAAAAACTAATCCCATCTATGGAACATGGTGGGGGTCGTGTCATGGTTTGAGCCTGTTTTGCTGCTTCTGGGCCAGGACAACTTGCCATCATTGATGGAGCAATGAACTCACTAATGAATTATACCAGCAAATTCTGAAGAAAATGTCAGGACATCTGTCCATGAGCTGAACATGAGGACACATGACCTCAAGCACCCAAGTTGTTCTACCAAAGAATAGTTAAAGAAGAATAAAGTTAAAGTTTTGGATTGGCCAAGTCAAAGTCCTCACCTTAATTCTATAGAAATGTTGTGGAAGGACCTGAAGCAGCAGTTCATGGGAGGAATCCCACCAACATAACAGCGTTGGCGCTGTTCTATATGGAGGAATGGGCTAAACCAAGCCAATGTGCAGGTCTAATCAACAGTTACTGGAAACATTTAGTTGCAGTTATTGCTGCACAAGGGGGTCACACCAGATACTGAAAGGAAAGGTTCACATACTTTTGACACTCACAGATATGTGATATTGGATCATTTTCCTTAATAAATAAATGAACAAGTCTAATAGTTCTGTCTCTTTTGTTTAATTTGGATCTCTGTATCTACTATTATGACAAAAAGTTTTAGGTCAAATTTATGCAGAAATATAGAAAATTCTAAAGTTCACAAACTTTCAAGCACCACTGTAAGTATTATTAAGTGCTGTTTTTAAAATGTACAACCCCGCTTTCAAAAAAGTTGGGACACTGTGCAAAATGTAAATAAATGTACATAAAAACAGAATGCAGTGAATTGCAAATCGTATAGACCCATACATTACAATAGAACATAGAACATATATCAGATGTTGAAAGTGAGACATTTTACCATTTCATGAAAACACTCATTTAGAACTTGATGATTAGAACGTGACCTGCGGATCAATTGCCAAAACACAAAATAATTAATGGAAAAATACACAGTCTCACACAGGAGGGCTATTAATGTGTGTCAGTATCATATGTACCATTTATAGAAGTCTAAGTTTTGAAGCTTCACACAGCTGACTCGCGCTCGAGTTCATGCTGGAGCTCTTGCTCTCTCTGTTGATTTCTCTGTTTCCCCTCCCAAACTGCCCCCCACCAACACACTCTTTCTCTCTCTCTTTTTTTAACATTTGATTATCTAAATGCGGAAAAAATGTGAACGAATAGTTGAATCTTCATTGTGAATGGCCAGATCCAATTCAACTGACAAAGCTTTGAAAATCGTTACAGAACGTGCTGGAAAGAGGTTATCATCAGGCCTCAAACTGAACTTCAATGTAACAAATGAGTATTTATTATTTTATTCTGATGATTTTATTAAAAATTTTGTGTTGTTTGCATTTGGGACCATGGGCAAATGTTCCATGCTTTAAGTTTTCGTAATGTTCTGAAAAACAATCCGATCCTTGACTCAAAACCTGTGAAATGATCCGATCCGTGAGATTTGTGATCTGTTACACCCATAATAAATCCCCATGTGTAATATAAACCAGTACCTCAAGCAAGCTTAAATCACTTTGTGAGAAAATGAAACACGCTGCTGACTTTATTATTTAAGATAAGATAATCCTTTATTAGTCCCACAATGGGGAAATTATAAACAATTATAAATAGAAAGCTCAAGAGTATTTACACTATGGAGATATTTTTAAAAATATATTGTACATAGAGTGTTGATTATATTGCACACAGGAAAAGGTGATAAATTCACAGTATGTTCTGTAGGTTTGTGAGGTCTAGTGGGGGGGTGGAAGGGGTTCTAATGGGACCAGTGGTGGTTGTACAGTCTAACAGCAGCAGGAAGGACCTGCGAAACCCAGGTACTTATAAGAGTCCACCCTCTCAATGTCCCTTCCCTGGATGTTCACTGTGTCTGCGGAAGTCCACCGCCATCTCTTTGGTTTTCCCCGCGTTGATCAGGAGATGATTCCTCAGACACCAGTCCACAAAGTCCTGGGTCAGTTGTCTGTACTCTCTGTCGTCCTCATCTGTAATGAGTCCGATGATTGCTGAGTCATCAGAGAACTTCTGTAGATGGCAGTTTGGTGAGCTGTACATGAGGTCTGCAGTGTACAGGGAGAAGAGGAATGGTGCCAGGACTGTACTCTGCGGGGCCCCTGTGCTGTTGAACACCATGTCAGACACACTGTCCCGTGCCCTCACATACTATGGTTGGTTGGTGAGATAATCCACAATCCAGTTTGATAGGTGGTGATACAATCCGGTGTTCTCCAGCTTGTTCCTCAGGAGCCTAGGCTGTATGGTGTTAAAAGCACTGGAGAAATCAAAGAACATGATTCTTACAGTGCTCCCAGGCTTCTCCAGGTGAGAAAGAGCTCTGTGTAGGAGGTAGATGACCGCGTCATCCACTCCAATGCCAGGTTTATAGGCAAACTGGAGTGGGTCCATAAAAGAGCTTATCAGAGATATACAAGGACCAGCCTCTCTAGCATCTTCATCAGATGTGACGTCAGTGCCATCAGCCTGCAACTGCTGAGGTCCTTTGGTTGCTGCGTCTTTGGCACCGGTACCACACATGATGTTTTCCACAGTTGTGGTACCTTCCCAAGGTTCAGGCTCATGTTGAACATGTGTTCAACTATCCCACACAGCTGATCTGCACAGGACTTAAGGAGCCTGGCGCTGATGCCATTCGGACCCGCAGCTTTCCTCACTTTGATCTTTCTGAGCTCCTTTCTCACCTGGGCTGTTGTAAGGCACATATTGGAGCAGGGGGGCTGGGTGCTAGAGTGTGCAGGTAGGTGGGGGGTTGAGCTGACAGCAGAGAGATCAGTGGTGGGTGGCTGTAAGTGGCTTTATTTAAATACATTATTTATTAAATGTATTTATCCTCTTGACACTCAGTGGAAGCACTTCAGTAAGCTATAAATATGCAAGCTAATTTGTAGCTGTTATGTCTAACATTATGATATACATACATTTTCTAATTTCCTTTTATAAGATATTTGTTCACTCTTTGCAGACTATCTTCATGTAATATTGGGAGATCATCTTGTGAAAATCTAGGATCAGCTTTACAGCTGATAAACTCCTCCCTGAAAGAGCTGGACCTCGGCAAGAATGACCTTCAGGATTCAGGAACAGAGCTGCTCTCTGCTGGACTGATGAGTCCACACTGTAAACTGGAGATACTCAGGTGAGATTTCATTCTTGATATTCAGTGCTTCACCAGCACATCTTTTTACATCAAAATGATGTTTTAGTGAATTTAAAGAATCATACAAAATTACATGATTAAAAGAAAATTCCTAGATTAAAAGATCTAAGTGTATGAAAATGAAGCATGAGGGTAAAATAGCGAAATAGACTAAGCGAAATAAGAGTATCCATCCCAACATGACTGTGTTTGAATATTGGCTGCAGTCATAAGTCTGATGCAGAGATTAGTAAATGACCAACACAACTACTAAAACAACACAAGGCATAGTGTAATTCAGTTTTCTCATCAACTTTTTAATTTTGTTTACACAGAGCACCAGATACAGTCATAGCATTAGGAGCATGATCAGCCGTATATGTTATTACATAGCAATGTTTTAGTTTGTTTTATAAGTCTTGGAAATCTTGACTTATCTTGACTTGAGTCTTGGAAAATAGTTATGCTACAATAATGCCCTTTTGTGCTACCACCCTTAGGAGATGTTAATGTAATTATTTTGTTTCCATATCATGGCAATACTATGTTAAACAAGCAGTGTTGTACATACACAGTGTATTGCATCTGTTAAAAAAAACAAGGACATTTGAAATTTGCAGCAAAAATTCCAGGAAAATATTTTATGAAGCAAGTCATAGTTTTCATGTGACTGCTTCAACAAAATATCCACCTATTGAAACTAGAAATGACATTGATTGATTCCACTGTCACTTCTTAATAATGTTGGTTAAAGTGCAAGTTATAAAAGCAGAATTTTTTTTTTTTATTACTTATAGAAATTCTTCTTTAGCTGTTAATAAGTTATTAACCCTCTATACTGTGTCTTGGAGGAAAGTCCCAAATCCCAAACAGACTTCGGGGAAACTAAAATATAGACTAATAAAGTAGGAAGCTACATAGGTCTAGTGAACTGCTGTGTCTTTATTATGTAAAATATTTCTCTAAATAAACTTTTTTTGTCTAATATGCATGGTAACAAAGATAAAAGCATGAGTTAAACAGTTGCTGACTGTAATTCTGTTTTTATTGTAAGCAAGCCTGAACCACTTTTTGAGAAAAGGAAACACACTGTTGGATTCTTTCTCCTCTTTTCTTTTAGTGGAACCATCCTAGTAAGCTATAAATATGCAAATTATGCACTGAATTGTGAGATACTGCATGTATTCTTCCTTTGCAGACTAGATTCCTGTAATCTGGGGGAGAAATCCTGTGAAATTCTGGGATCAGTATTACAGCTGATAAACTCCTCCCTGAAAGAGCTGGACCTCGGCAAAAATGACCTTCAGGATTCAGGAACAGAGCTGCTCTCTGCTGGACTGATGAGTCCACACTGTAAACTGGAGATACTCAGGTGAGATTTCTATTAATTTATTCTTGATATGCAATGCTATATCAGAGAGTATGAGCAAGTATATACTACCATAAAATATGCTGTCCATAAAATAAAATCCATATATTTATAGATTGTAAACATTTCTCTTTAGGGTTGTATGACATTATTACTATGCGTTTCTGTACAGTACTGTGCAGAAATCAGTGAGTACCCTTTATTAATTTGATTTTCTGTCAAAATGGACATTGAGTACAAATTATTGATGTTCAGGACAGATTTCTCAGGAGATTCTGTATTAGGTCATCCATTTGTACAATAAAGGAGGATGTATAGAAATACAGAAATATAGAAAATTATTAAATAAACAAGACTTTCCAAAACTGAGTATAAAAGATGGAGGAGTGACATTCAAAATCCAGTCCAACAATACGCTGGCGCTGCCACCTCCTCAGACCTGCCCAAATGCACATGCAAAACAATATTTTACATTACATTACATTTTATATTTCAGTCACTGACATAAAGATGTGTGGCTACTTAATGTGAATAACTTATGCACAGAACGTTGTATAATTAATAGAATTAATGGAATGTCTAACGACAGAAATCTGATTGGCTAAACCACTTTCAAAGCCACTGTAAGATACTGTTCATCCAGGCAGCTGTAAAAAAGAAGTCACAGGCAGGAGATCTGTCTGTGAACTGATCTTCCCAAAACATACAACAATTCTCTATAATACACCTAATACAAAGGGATGCCTGAAATTCCTGTTTTAAACATTTTGTAATGGGCACAGTCTTGGCAAAGTGGCCGTGCGCATGACCTAACACCAGTCCTGCACATATATGACCACACACATCAACGAAGTTCTGTATTAATGCACCAATTCATTGAAACCCACTGTGCTGTTAGTGGATCCCTTGTAAACATGTTTCCAACATATTTTATGTTTTCTGACTATTATAGCCAAGTTAACAAACTAGCACGCATAGCAAATAATATTTACTTGTTTGTGTTTTTCTAATTTTATTTACTTATTTCAAATAATTTTTCATTTCATTCATTTAATTTGGCTTAGTGATATTTAACCACTAGTGTTTGTGGTTATATATTTTTGTTCCATTGGATTTGCTTCAGTTATTTTTAGGGCTCTAGAGCATTTTGAGCTTTTCCAGTCATACTTACATTTAAATAAATTAATAACAACAACAAGCTAATAATAATGACAAGAAAAGATGTAATAAGAAGAATGTATGAATGAAGTAACAATAATCTAATAATAATAATAATAATAATAATAACAACAATAATAACAGTAATAATATTTTTTGTTAATAATTGAAATTATTATTATTATTGCAATTGTTAATGATCATAATTGTTTTGGCAAAAATAATAAGAGGAGTTGATCTGGTTGCTGCAGCATGCCTAACCGCACCTTTTGATAACATATACTGAACTATAACTGAAGTATTTAATGTTAAGAATGTAAGAATTATGCAAACCAAATTACACAAAAATGGATATTATTTTTTCTGGAGTTCTCTACTGTCAGTTCTGTGTCAGACATCACACTTTTTCATGAAATATCCAGTCCAAACGGTTAAGTATGACTTAGTCATTCTTAAGATTTAGGAAAAGGACAGAAAACCCTTATTTAACAGCGAGTACACCAAAGCTTCACCCTTTGCCACAGAAGTGTCCATCCTTTGCCTCTGTCACTTCATTGTGGCATCCATCTGTAAATAGTAGTTTTATGGAACTTCCGCCTGCACCATTTAACAGAGCTGCAATGGAGGGTTGCTGGTTTTTAGCCTCCCTTTCTTTGGAGTGTGGTTAACAGGAGCATAGTTGTTATTGGGGGTTGGAGGTAAACATCCATCAAACTGAGCGTACATAATGGTTTAAACTAGAACTGCAGGCATCACCCACAAAAATGCACTCGTCCAGAGCAGCCAAACACATTTACATGTTTTGATTTCCTTGACAAGAATTTGATATAGACATTGATGGAATCTCTACTAAGAAAAAAAACATGTTCATTTTTATTTTAGCAGTCAATACTAAACACCAGATCAAACAATTCCTCTAAGTACAGCCAGGGCCAAGTGGGTTTTTATGAACGTTTTTGTGGAAGTAGCCAAACACTGGTTCACTCTACAAACCCCCCTCCCCGTGTCACATCCAGTATGGAGCTGATTTATGCTGCATTAGATGCTTTCATGTCATTGGCTAATTAAAAATACATAAATAATAGATAGAAAGATAAAATAGATTCATAGATTGTTAAAACTAAAGAAACGAGTCTGTTTTGAAAATGTAGTGAGTAAATAGTACAGATTTTTCTTTTGAAATGTAGTGAGTAAAAATTAAAGGTATAAAGTGACAGAAATACTCAAGTAAACCACAGATACCTTAAAAAGTACTTAAGTACAGTACTTATTTAAGTATTTAAGTACTTGTACTTACCACAGTGTTTGAAAGAGCATCTCTGTGTCAAAGCAGCTGCATTCAGACAGAGCCAAAATTAATCACCAAGCTAGAGTGGTGAAAAGTCAAGGTTTTTAATCAAACCTCTGTGATGACAATCTCCAGGACTGTAAATATGCCTATGAATAAATACTTATGTTGGAACTGTGAGTAAATCTGTCCTACTATACAGCCCATGGGCGCGCTTCTGTTCTGTTTTACCTCCTTTTTGGATTGGTTACCCCGTTAAAAGTGACATATGATGAGTGGAGCTTTTCAGCTTAAGCTGAACAGTTTAAACTTAATTGAATGGAAACACAGGTGAGGATGTTTAGTTGAATTATTGGTACATGCAGAAATGCAGCAAGGACTTTGAGAAATATCAGCCATTATGTACAGCATGACCGGAAGCCTTTAAACGCTACTATTTACTCTTCCAAATTAACAAACATGGAAATGTGAGAATGGTCTATTACAGCTACCAATCTGTTGGGAAGACTTGCTTTGTGTTTCAGAGAAAACTGCAGAGATATTTTTACATTCCTACAAAGTTCAGTCTTAGACAATGATTGTATTTTCTGCTTATAATCTTAAGCACATTCAGTGCTGTTAAAGTCCATTTTTCTGAAAACATCAACAGGTTCTTTATATGATTAATACATCTTGATCTATTCAGCAGTGTGCTTGGGGTTGTTATCTTGTTGCAGAAAGAATTTCTTCCTAATCAGATGTTTTTAGAGAGTTTTGTATAATGTAATTTGAATATAGTGCTTTATCGGTGCATATACTGCCTTCTGATATCTCAAATGTCCAGTTTCAGTGTTTGAGTGCAGATTTAATTTCTCAGTAAGAGCATCTTGTCAGCTCCACATCCTTTCAGATCCATATTACTGAGTTGTCTTCTGACAGAGGAAGGATGCACAGAAACACTTGGGGATGTTTTTAGATCTGAAGCAAGAGTGGTGCTTGTTTTTTTTCTTTTCTGTCAAAGATGAAAGTTCTGTTTTTTTTTTTTTTGTTTTTTTTGGTTGTCTACCAGGTCTTGCACAGTTGCTAGGATTCTAATTTTGTCTGTAATTTTTAATAATGTTTTTAACTTCAGTTTTGGAACCTCTGGATTTTTCATTTTTTTCTTTTGACTTTCTGCTTATGCAACTGGATGATCTTACATTTAAAAACAATTTACAAACACTTTGAATTGGTCAGATTTATGAAGACTAACACAATTAAATGAAGAAAAAAATTCCCCTTTATCATTAGCTATAAATACCAACTGAGTATGTTTTTTCTTTATCTTGAGATCCACCAGAAGGACAGTCGTTTTTTAAATAGTTTTTTGGTTTAGTTCTTTTTGAGAAGCTATTGGGTGAAATTTATTATTTTGTCTATTTGATGTCAGTGTGTTTATGTGTAACACCCAGATTTTATTTACCTTATCATTATCAGTGAATGTTTAGTGTAACTCTTGTTGTCCAACAGTAAGTGGTTCACTGTTTTTTCTCAAAAAAGTGACAAAAACACTGTCATTAGTAGGCTGGCCATGCATGTCAGGCTGAGAGTGCATGCCTGCAGCCAGACCCTTCTTGTGTAATTTGATCAGTGCCTGAACTTTTGTATATAACTTTAAATGCCACGTCTCTTACTTGTCTCGATCTTTTCCCCTCTTCTCTGCAGGTTATCTGGTTGTATGATTACAGAGGTAGGCTGTTCTTCTCTGGCTTCTGCTCTGAGTGCAAACCCCTCACATCTGAAAGAACTGGATCTGACCTACAACCACCCAGGAGATACAGGAGTGAAGCTGCTCTCTGCTAGACTGGAGGATCCACACTATAGACTGGAGATGCTCAGGTACAGAAAGCTGTGTGTGTGTGTGTGTGTGTGTGTGTGTGTGTTGGAGTCAATAATAATAATAATTATCATTATTATTGTTACTGTTATTTATATATCGAGAGTTATAGATATGGTATAGTGAATTGTTACAGGCGCAATAATACAATGCAGTATGTCTGGTAAAATGACCACAAATGTAGCTGACCTGATAAATCGGCAGGTACATTTATATCCAGCTTCCTGTCTTTTGCGTTGTGACTGAAGCACCGGAATCTGTCTTGCCCATGTGTGTATAGTTGTGTACAAGAAAGGTCAAAAATTTCAGTGAAATTCTCTTGATTGAGGGTGTTTGAACACAGAAGTCTTAAAATATTCCCCAAATTGTAATATCAGGGCTGTAGCGTTTTAGTAAAACTGCAGTTACTGCACTGTATTAAATGCAGGTGTAGTAAAATGGACACACTAAAAAAAAACTAAAAGCTGTATTACTGGATAATGTACATCATTTTTTTTAATACCAAAGTAATTCCATCCAGTAATTCCGTTTTACTTCATTTATTACACAAATAAAACAAATACAGTACTACAGTACTAGAATTTACAGTAGTATCCTGCTGCGCTCTAGACTGCTGTTTTTATTAAACCAGTAACACTACTTCTGTACTGTGTCAGTTTTACTGTGTTTGTACTGCAGTATTAAAAACTGCAACAATACTACATACTGCACTGCAGATTTTAAGGCAAAGGCAAATGTATTAATATAACACATTTCTTACACAGAGGCAATTCAAAGTGCTTTACATTATTAAAGCATTAAAAATGGAAATAAAACAATGTAAAAAAAAGCATAAAAATAAAATAACTAAATATATAAAGTGCAGAATAAAGTGCTAACAGAAACTTAGTTTGTGTGAAATGTTGCACAGATACATTTTCAGTCTATTTTTAAAACGCTAACAATCTGAGCACATCTCACAGCTTCAGGAAGTTTGTTCCAGTTAACGGCAGCATAATGGTTAAATGCTCCCTCAGTGTGTAGTCCCGGTTCTAGGCACTGTTAAGTGATTGAACTCTACTGATCTGCAGTCGGTTGCACCAGCTGAACGTAATTTGGGGTGTAAAGTCCATCCTAAACCTTACATTGAGAGCAGTTAGTTCAAAACTAGTGACACAGAATTTTGGTTGCACCACAGACGTTTATGGTACATCTTAACTAGTAGAGTGTGAAGTGATTGCAGATCAAAACACTGTCGCATAGAATGACGTTTTCACTCTGCAGCCAATCAGTAACGCTACCCTACATGAACAGGCAACATTACACGCATGATCTCCACACGCAGTGAAGTTTCTCTCTTCATGGGCTACTTTGCTTAAAGTATGTCAGTAGTAGGGCTGGGCGATAAAACGATAATGATAATTATCGCGATATAACTTTTCCTCGATAGAGCGATAAGGCATGTCCGATATAATACACCATTCTCACATTTCCACGTTCAGCGAAAGCCTTGGTGGCGTTTTCTACTGGAAGGAAAGCAACACAATTCCATTGTCGCCAGGAGAGGGCGCACTTCCGAGTTTTTCGACATGATTAGAGAGGGAGGGGGCCACGAGTAAGATGAGTCTTTAGCATCGGCTGAAACGCGGAGTTATCATTCCCTGTTTGAGTGGAGCGACGGGCGATCCGCTCTCATGTGACCGAGTGTGAGTGACGAGGTCAGTGGTGTAACTGTACTGACCTACAGTGAACTCACCTCTTTCCGGACATCCTAACCAGCTTTAGCAGCGTTAAATCACGTCTGATACTCACAACTAAGCTGTTACAGTCGCTCGGACAGTCATATTTAAGTATTGGTGCATTCCAATAATGAAAGTGAAAGAAAAAAGTGGGTTCATGTAAATTACAGCCCAGATTTAAACAAAAATAAACTGAGGAAGCTGTGAGACATTGGAGAGCGGGAGAGCGCTAGCTTTCCAGGCTAGCTGTTTTTAGCAGCTGGCTAACTTGAAGCAGCGCTCTGTCACTCCAAAACACGGAGAAGTGATGATACTGTAGATCAAACACGACACAAAAGCACTATTTTCAGTTTAAACGTACCTAAAGGAGGACTCTGTTTGTCTGGTGTTGATATACTGCGGTAAACTACTACGCATAAGCTGCAGCTAATGTAATCGCTGTTTGAATCTGCTGAATGACAGAAAGGTAATGTTAGTTATGTTAATTATATTTTTAAAAATAATCTGTGCTATGTGTTGTATGATAATAAGGTCAGCCTCACACACGACTTGAGCACTGATGGAGCTGCACGCAGTTGACTTATGTATTTGAACAGATGCCCACCAGGTTTTGGAATGACCCTGTAGCAGATTAACTCAATGCCAGACGCACTGGTAAAGTAGGACTCCTGGCTTCATTCTTGTCTGTGTCGTGTTGCAAATCTGTGGCTAGGAGATCTGTGATCTTTTCTTTCTCTGGTCAATAAAAACGGGTGTAATCTATCCTGTAGCAGTGGCTGTCGATGCAAACCGAGACATATTTCACATTCTTGCAAGTTTTTCCATTGATCAAATGGATCAGCCATTTTAGCGGATTGTTACGGCAGAACTTTCACCTCCTACAGCGTAAAATTTAAGTGATAATTTAAAGCTATGTCGAAACTGTGTTACTTGGTGCAACTGGTTAAATTCTAGTAGCTCATAAACTTGAACATAGTGGCGGTTTAGGCTCAAGCTAGGCTATGATCTAACTTACATTCAGCTGGTACAACTGGCTGCTGAGGTTTATTTTAGATCTTAATTACCTGCATACCAGTAATGTAATTAGGACATGTCCATGTAATGTCCATGTTTTTTGGGGAGGCCTTTAAAGTGATCTAGCCTGCTGAAGAGATAAGTGCATGAATGAGTTTATCTAAATCTTTGACATCCATAAAATCTCAGAATTTTGTTATGTTCCTTAGATGATAATAGGCTTGACTTTGTGGTGGATTTGATATGGCTGTTGAAGCTGAGTTAGGAGTCAATTTGGAGGTTTTTGACTTGTTTTTTAGGGTTTAAAGCCTTAGAACTTAGAAAAGCAATGACTTTGATTTTTTTCTTTGTTTGGGCAAAATATTATTGCTTCTGTTTTGTCTTTGTTTAGCCACAGGACATTAAGATGCATTTAGTTATCAACTGTCAGAGAGTCCCACCCAGTTTTCCAGGCTGTGTACAAGAATACTGTGGTCAACCATGATACAGGCAGCACTAAAGTCCAAGAGCATCAGAACTGAAATATAGACTGATGTCATTTAGGACCTTTACTAAGGCAGTTTCAGTACTGTGATATGGGCGAAAGCCAGATTGGAACATAATTCTGTGTGATGAGCTGCTGTTGTGTATCTACACTGTCTGTAGATCTGTGTAATGAGTATCTATGTGTAATTGTGTATCTGCGCTCTGTGTAGTTGTGTGTAATGAGCTGCTGTTGTGTATCTGTACGCTGTGTAGTTGTGTGTGATAAGCTGCTGTTGTGTATCTGCGCTCTGTGTAGTTGTGTGTGATGAGCTGCTGTTGTGTATCTGCGCTCTGTGTAGTTGTGTGTGATGAGCTGCTGTTTTGTATCGGCACTTTGTGTAGTTGTGTGTGATGAGCTGCTGTTGTGTATCTACACTGTGTAGTTGTGTGTGATGAGCTGCTGTTGTGTATCTGCGCTCTGTGTAGTTGTATGTGATGAGCTGCTGTTGTGTATCTATGCTCTGTGTAATTGTGTGTGATGAGCTGCTGTTGTGTATCAACGCTCTGTGTAGTTGTGTGTGATGAGCTGCTGTTGTGTATCTGCGCTCTGTGTAGTTGTGTGTGATGAGCTGCTGTTGTGTATCTACGCTCTGTGTAGTTGTGTGTGATGAGCTGCTGTTGTGTATCTACGCTCTGTGTAGTTGTGTGTGATGAGCTGCTGTTGTGTATCTACGCTCTGTGTAGTTGTGTGTGATGACCTGCTGTTGTGTATCTACGCTCTGTGTAGTTGTGTGTAATGAGCTGCTGTTGTGTATCTGTACTCTGTGTAGTTGTGTGTGATGAGCTGCTGTTGTGTATCTGCGCTCTGTGTAGTTGTGTGTAATGAGCTGCTGTTGTGTATCTGTACTCTGTGTAGTTGTGTGTGATGAGCTGCTGTTGTGTATCTACGCTCTGTGTAGTTGTGTGCAGAGCTCAGTTCAGGTGTTTTAGTAATGCAGATTCATTCATTCAGTTATTTATTTGTTTATTAGCATATTTCAGTCCTTTAAATACATTTTATGACACGTTCATGTCTCTTTGATGTAGCAGTGGGCTAACACAGTTCCTGCTACCTAAAGCCCTAAATATGACACAGCCCTCACCTAACCTGCTAGCTGAGAGCTGGAATGCAAGATGGAACAGCATCCCAGCTTTCTAACACAAACATTACTCCATACATTAATCATCTTTAGTCCATCAGTATTTCATTTTAACTCATTTATTACAATCCAGTATAATCTACTTAAAGTTATGTTATAATGGTGTATAACTGTGTATGAACTGAAATACTGTATTTTGGATGGTTGAATCTGTGTTATATAATTTTAATATATTAACTCTGGCTTTGGCTCTGACTTGGTTAAACTGCAGTGTCATGCATCACTAGGGGGAGTGAGAGGGTGGGCTGCAGAGTGCAGACCTGCCAACCTGTATGTATTTTGTGTAGCAGGCACACATTTTGACATCACAGTATGCTGGTACGATTTGGCACTATAAACTACACAAAAAGCTGGTGACGCCTGTGAGTTCATTTGTGCTGTGCAGAACTCAAATCTGACAGTAAGAGGCAGCAGCGTCCAGCCTTCTGACAAATAAAAGAAAAGAGTTCGACCAATCATACCCCGCCCCCGGTGACGGTGCTTTAACTGCTTTGTAAACGTAAACAGGCTGGGACGGAATTTCAAATGTGGAAATTTGAATTTGTGAACTGAGTTAAGTTAACGCACACCGGCCAACTTTGGGACAGTATTTAACATTAATAATATTAGCCTAACGGTTTGTAATTTCTGAGCTTGTTTGCTCACCAGGCATTTAAACTGGCAAAGTGACGTTAAGATAAATTGTTTGTGTGTCTCTTTTCATAGTAACCTACTGTGTAGCCATGACCTAACCTGCTCTTCCAGGCCACAGTCCTTTATGATGGCTCTGCCATGGCCTAACCCGCTAGCCACAAGCTAGTTGTAAAGCAAACACCCAAGATGTGAAATAACTTGCTAGCCATGACCTTCTACATGAGCTGACGCAGTGGCCATGACTGAACATCTTTGTTTGTTCATAATCATTTTAATATATATATTATATATATATATATATATATGTATGTATGTATATATGTATATGTATATATATATGTATATATGTCTATATGTGTATATATATGATATATATATATATATATATATATATGTGTATATATATATATATATATATATATATATATATATATGTATGTATATATATTGAAGTATATTTAAGGGAGCATTTTTATAGAAGAAGATAAAAACACTCTTAACATTGAGTATAAGTTTCAAGTATCTAGGAGTTCCCTGTGTGCTCTGTTTGTGCAGGGGATAGGAATGTTTGAACCAGGGGGGCCCCTCAATTTAAAGCCCCTCAATTTAAAGACCCATAGGAAGTAGGCCTCTCACTTTCTCCCTTCTTCTTAGTTCCACATAGATGAGATCATTTTAAAAAGAACCATATGCTCTGTCTCCTGTTTCAACAACAAGAACCATATATATATGCTGTTGGTCATTCTGTTCGGGAGAGGACATTTAGAATTGGCACGGATCCTCTCTCAGGTACTTTATAGTGCTTGATATGATGCTGTTTTACTATGTAATAAATCTTTTTGCTAGCAACTCAGTATCGGCGGAGTTTTTCTAAACACCATCGCACTAAATAAACAATAATTATATATATTATATATATATATATATATGAAAATGATTATTGTATTATCTAAACCACATACACATGTACAAAGCTAAAACTATCTAAATTACACACGCACGCGCGCGCACACACACACACACACACACACACGCACACACTTAGAGGTTAAAACATTTATTAGTGGTAAATTTTTTACATTATCATGTTAAAAATTATATCACTGTTGCAAAGCAAGATTTTAGCTCTGGTTTTGGACCCAAATACAAAGGAGATACAAGACACTGTTCACTACACTTTACTTCATAAAACTCATGAATTACTGAAATGAATCTGAATCATAATGAAATTAAGTACAGTTCCAGATAATTAAGAATATGTAATACTTATAAATGACCAACACAAGCTACAAACCGACTGTTTCTGCTTTCAGTTTCCACACTGGCAGCTTTTGCATGTTGGGGAATCTTCCTTACAGCAGCTGTAAATAATAAAATGGTCTAATATGAGAACAGATTCAATTCAGTTCAGCTTAGTAATAATCTGATAAACTGGAAACATACTACACGGACATGGTCTCATGATTTTTAATATTAAATAAGTTTAATAATTGTGGAGAGTTTGAGATTTTTACTACGTACAAAAACAGATTTCAGATCTGCAGATTCAAAACTTTTTA